TTGCAAGTTGCGTGCCAATAGCCGGTTTGTGGGTCCTTCCATTTATCAAAATTATTTTTCATTAGTTCAGACTTACTTTTTTTATTACCGGTGGCGGTTTGGGATGAGGCAGACTCGTCGGCGTCGTGGCTGCCGGCACCCTCCTCCTCGGCCGTCTCCGGTTCCAATTCCTCCGCATCTTCATCCTCAAGCTCCTCTTCGTCAATGGTCGTCGGCATTTGTTGTTGTTGTAGAAAGCGGTTATTATGTCGGGCCAATTCTTGTTGGAGTTGTTCTTCGGACATCGCACCTCCATCTCGCCTTTGGTAACCCGTTTCAAAATCATCTCGGCTTTGAGATGAAGAACCGGCAAGTTCTTTACCTTTGCGGGATTTCTTCCTCCCAATCTCGTTCCTTCGATTGCGTTGGAGGTTACCCAAATCAACCAAATATCTACCACCTTCCATCTTCAAAATGTAACAAATATTAATTGACAACCAATATAATAATGGATACAAAACTAATGCAACTAATTAAAACTATTTTAATTAATACTTCAAACTAATTTAGTGCAAAGTAGAATTAATGTGTGACTTTAAAATTAAAATTATACCAACTTTTGAAGTACTTTAATTTAGTAAAAACTACTTAAATAAAATGTTAAGTACTTTAATTAAATGATTGAACTACTATTTCTTCCTACAAATATAAATTGAAAATAAGAAATTGTGACTTTAACTATAATGAATTAATGACAATTAACTAGTTTATTGAAGTAGAGTTGTTTTAACAATTAATGAGAATACTAATGAAGTAAATAACTAGTATAATGAAAAATGTAACACCAATGCTAATTAACTAATTAACTAGTATAATGACATATGTAACAAGAATGCTAATAAACTAATTAACTAGTATAATGAAAAATGTAACAATAATGGTAATGAACTAATTAACTATTATAATGATAAATGTAACAAGAATGCTAATTAACTAATTAACTAGTACAATACTAATTATAGTAAGTAATATATAATATAATGTTTATAGTATATAATATATAAGTATACTACTATAAGATGAGTAATACACTTATATTTTATACTTTAATATATAAAGTATATATTAAGTAGATGTAGAATGTATGTATTAAGTGGATATAATAATTGTATAAGAATTAAATATTAGAGTATAATGGAGAATTGGAGATTGGAAAATAAGAAAATAAGTATATATAAAATAGATATTATAAAGTATATATAAAAGTAGATATTATAAAATAAGTATATATAAAATAGATATTATTAAGTAGAGAAGTAGATATTATTATGTATTAAGTATATAGTAATAGTTTATAAAGTATATTTAATACTTTATTATATAAAGTATATATTAAGTAGATGTAGTATGTATGTATGTATTAAGAGATATAAGTAGAGATTAAGTAGATAAGAAATATAAGTAATATAGTATATGTATTTATAAGTAGATAATTAATATATAAGTAGATATAATAATTGTATAAGTATTAAATAGTAAAATAAAATATAAAGGAGAATAAGAGAATTTGAGAAGATGAATATGGAGAATTGGAGATGAGTAGAGAGTAGGATTTAGGGAGAGTTGGAGAAGAGGTGTGAAAAAATGTTTAAAATTAGGAGTATTTATAGGTTTTTTTTAACCCCCACCCCCCACCCCACCCCCCACAAAGGCCCCGGACCCCCCCTGGTACCCACCCAACGGCTATATAGCCGTTTGGGAAGTGGCTGTTGAGCCAAAATGGGTTTTTTTAAAATTAAAAGATTTTTTTTTTTAAAATGACCGTTAGGCCCGGGCCACCAAAAACAGAACCCGAGCCCGGACCCGCTTCTCCCACCGGTTCGGTGCCCGAACCGGACCCGGACCCGAGAACCGGGCCGGTTCCGGGCCCGTACAGTGACGGGCCGGGTCGGTCCTGGGCCGGGCGGCCCGAACCGGGTCCACCACTACACGGATGTTGTTGGAAAGTGTAGGAAAAGAAAGTATTCATAAGTCCTATAATAAGGTGACCACGAACGCTTTCAAGTATTTGAGCCCCAATGGAATAGCTCAAAACACTTGATATAATTGAATATGTTAAGATACCGAAATTCTATCATCAATCCACAACAACAATAAAATCTTAATCCCAAAAGAGTTTGGAATCGGTTAACATGAATCGACATATCAGACCAAAATTAAAAAGGATAAAAAGAGAAAAACACATATCATGAACTTCTATACAAGTGTCACGTGAAAGAGAGACAAACAACCACGATCTCACAGTTTGATCAATTTTAAGCCCTGAATGATATTCAAGATCGAGGATTTCACGACGAACATTATCATCAATAGATAGTGGTGTGCGGAAATTGAACCATCTAAAATTCCCAATAAGCCATGGGTAGTGGGACACCAAAAAAGATTCAACTTGATTACGTCACGAGAGATAATTCTCAACCATAACCAATCAGGTGGTAACTATATTTGTAACATTGGGGGTAGAAAACGATAACTAGGATGATAAAGTAGCAAGTGGGCTAGATGTTATCATAGAACTCAGTTGCCGCAACAGTGATGAAGACTCAGACAAGGAGATATCAAGCTTGCCAGTCATGGTGGATCCGGAGAAGGCTGGAGAAAGTTGATCGCCCCAAGTAGGTGAAGCATGGACTGCATGGGGGAAAGGCGATGGCGTCGTGACAATTGGTGTCAATGAAAGGGTTTTAACATGTTGAAGAGCCGTTATGAGTTGAAAGGCGGTGGCGGCAAGGTGAACCGAGAAGAGGAGAGTTGCGGATAAGATGCTATGCCGGACGAGGAAGGCTGCTCCAAGGAAGAACCGGGCGCCTGGACGGTTGAAACCACCGTGCTATGTGATGTCTCCGGTCGGGATGAAATTAAAGCAGAAGCACTGTAGACATGGGCGTCGTGGTGGTGGTAGGGAGGCCAATCGATATGATGCTTATTTTTGTTAAAAAAAAGGGAGGCCGATCGATATATCGAAAACGGAACTAACGTTTGTGAAAACTTAGTGTGCTGATACCATGTGAAATAATAATTGTGATGATGAATAATAGCTTACCCATCATGAAGTCCTAGAATCTTGTTTATAATAATAAATGAGTAAGAGTATTCGACAACTAACTTAATAGCCTTTCAATATCATTTTCATAATATATCGATCTCATGAAAAAAAAACATTGATCAGTTTTTTTGGATGAAAACGGCTTACATATAAATCAAACCATTTGGAGAGTAGGTGATAAGTCCGTATTTTGACACGCAATTGATGCGTGTTGGGATCAACTTTTGATGGTTTCCCTAACTTTAAGGTGTTGCAAGTCTCAATTTTAGCTCAAGTTATGTTTACCGGGGCGGGCGTTGGTTCGAGTTTTGTGTTGTTTGTAGTCAAAATCAGGGAATTTGAGCCCAGCACCGGCGCTTGAGAAGCAATCGGGACGAGCTGAGAAGCATTGGAGATTGATTTGAGATTTTTGGAGGTCACCAGGAGGTTCAAGATGAAGATTTGAAGGAAAAAGAGCTCTAGGATCGGATTTGCTACGGGATCAAAAGAAGATGAATGAAACTTGAAAACGACGATCAGGATGACCTTCTGTCAATCGTTCAAGCATATCTTTTTGTAGAAACATCCAAAGGACACGATTCAAGGTCCATATGAAAGCTAACTTCAAGAGCTACAAATCATATGAAGACATGATTCCGAGAATCTGAGAGGAGTAATGTGAAAACAGACGATGAAGTTAGATGATCTCTATTGCGATTTCAGAATGCCACCTCCTACCATGTTATCCATATATCTTGATTGAATGATTCAAATCCAATTCGGGAAGTTGTGGTGGATAGAGAACTTCATTATCTACAACTTTCATGAAGAAAGTTTTGTCAAATTCATAAAGGAAGCACGCGCGATGAGCGCCTGAAGAATGCACGGAAGCCCCGGGGAAGAAACGAGCCAGGCACAGTCGTGCTTGGCAGTCAGACACGCCGTGCCTGTAGAAGAAACGGGTACCTAGCCTCTGGAGGTCAGGAACGGTTGTGACTGGCCCCTAGGCACGCCGACATGTCGTGCCTGACTCCGGAAAATCCTATTTTCGCCCGGATTACCCCGTTTTGTCCCAGTTCAGCCCAAACTCATCTGTTTTCTATAAATAAGGCCTCTATTCTCATGTTTAAGGGTGACGAACATTACGGAGAGACCTAGGGACGAATTTACTTGTGTTTTTACGTTGTTTTCATCAAGAACCCTGGGATTATTTGTAAGTTCATTCTTTTTAATTAATGACAATTTATTTTATTCATCTCAATTCTATTGATTCATCAATTATGAGTTGTGAATAGTTTAATTAGGGATTTGAGATTGATGAAGGGGTTAATCATGATGTATGACTAGTTTCTTGATGGATTAATTGCATGAGTGCCGTTTAATTTGTGTTTGAATACTTTAACTGATATCTCTTGTAACCTAGATAATTTTTGGGGCGAAAATTATTTTTTGAGGGGGTGAAAATTATTTTTCGTATATATATACACTAAAAATAAATTTTGTTGGAGGGGTGGTAGCCCCCTGAGTCTGTACTACGGTCTGCCCCTGTATAAAATATTTCATTTTCATAAGAGGGATACTATTTATGTTTTGTTGGAGGGCTATCCTATTTTTCTTGTTGCGTCTCTAAAACACAATCCAAAACATTGTCCTTAAAAATATGCTCCTTTGATTCTAATATCCTATTACATCCCATAAAGCTAAGTGACAAAAATGGAGAGTTAAATGGATATATTGCTATGACTTTTACAATTTTTTATAGTACCACATTGAAGAATTTCTGAAGGCGTGGGATAGTTTTGAAACAAATTAGATGTTAGCAATATTGTGATCAACTTATCATTTTTTTAAACTTTTAGCAGCAAATTTTCTCATCAGAAAAAAAACTTTTAAATAGTAAACGCCACGATCCATTAATCAAGGCAAAAACTGAAAATTTTCAAGCATAATGTTAATAATTAAGAAATGTCGTGGAAAATGTAACACAAAAGAAATTAACTTAATTATTATTATCTTGAAGAAGAGCAGCATAGAGAATGGAGTTCCAAGTGTCTGGGACCCCCGCAAGGCACCAATGCGCGCAATCTGTGCCGTTGTATCCGTTGTAGCCTGACACGTGTCCATCAACCCTGAATCTCGACAGGATTTCTATATCCAGTAAATATACAGGCTTTGACATTTGGCTCAAGATGTTCTTTGTAATGTTGGTACATTGTGATGGTGTGGTGAAAATCATGGTTTCATTCAAAGGTATGAACTCACTCTTGCAATTTGTGTCTGCTGACTTCCCCCAATAGTTTCCCCTGCAGGTAGGTATTCAGCAACACATCATGAACATTTGACATTAATTTGTTGGTATTAACAAAATATTCCACTAATAAAGAAATAAAATGCATATTATAAATAGTCCACAACACCTAGGACGGAGCAAAATAATATCAATAAATTAAAACCGATCGACAAATCAATTGAACTGATATGATTAAAATTGAACCGGCCAAATACCAAAACTGACAAAAACAACTAAATGATAAATCATTTGATTCACAATCTGAGGTTTGGTATATAAAAAATTAGCCGAAACATGTCAAACCCTACTGAAATCTAGACAACCCAATCAAAATCTGACAAAATTTAACATCCCAAATTACACCATTATCAGCATTCCTCTAAATTTAGATCATCCAATTGTAAAATAAATTTTGAGTTTTCAGTCCAAGGAAGCAAATGCACAATCTTTAAGGTATATCTAGTAACAATTAATGTCACATAATTCGAGTAAAAATGTTGTGATTTCTCTAAATTGGATATAGGTAAATTAGTTTTAGGGAGGAACGATACTCATACTTTGGAGAAACACATTATTTCACACCTATTTAGGACATTTTCTATAATCAAAATTAGCCTCATTTTTTATTTAGGCCAAGCAAAAATTAGAAAGATAATAAAGACCCTAAGGACTTAATGGTGAGTTCCAACCCTTTAAATGAGAACGACCAAAGAACCCAACCAAGAATCAGCTATAAAAAGTAAATATTTATTGATCTCTTTTTAGTGTCCGTTCCTAGACAAAGAAAAGACATGGGAAATCAATGATAAGTTGTACATTACCTATAATGGTAAGGGGAGGCCGACTCCCCTTGGTAAAAAACTTTTGTTTTGTTTGGATCAATTTCCTTGTCAACCCATTGCGCCCATGATCGCATAACCATTTCAAAAGCACTTATGCGGTTCATGTCTTTCACTATTTCACCATCGAGTTTCTCAATATAGTCCCATCTGTATTATAAAAAGTGAACTTCAAAATTCACAGAAAGAGGAAATTTCTTATTCCCAAATTCCAATTTTCAAGAGACAACAATAAATGCACACCTAATTGTATGAGAGAAGAGTACACCCTACCCTGTATACATATATATGCTTCAACTCCTTTTTCAAAATATTAGCATAAATATGGTAAGTTGAAGCAAACATAACCTTGGAGTAGGTGCCTATGCATGTATTCTTTGACATTTACTAGTGGTTGGGACTTGGGAGCATATATTTTCATACACAAAATTTGTACATACGGAGACACTCTCTTATACAATTGTATACATATATGTATACAATTGCTGCACTTTTCAAAATAAGTTGTCTGTGTACATAAGCAATTAGGGGTATACATATTCTAAGTAATTTTTCTTTACTTTATAAATATAATACTACCTTCTTTCTTAAATAAATGCAACATATAGAATTTTACATTATTCACATGTTCTACTTTGACTACGTTTTATTTATTAATGTATGAATATATTTTTATGAAAAATTTGTTAAATTTGTCTCATTGTAAATTTTCAATATTTTTATGAATGAATTTTTATGAAAAAAATATTGTTAATGTATGCAATATTGTTTAATTTTTTTAAATTTTTTACTAATATAAATTTATATATATTAATGGTCAAAGTTGTATCTTGGCAAGTGTGAAATGTTGATCGCTGCATTTATTTAAACACGGAGAAAGTATGTTTTAAATACTCCGTATAATTTTTTTTTATAATTTAGCAAATCTAGTCAATTCAGCCGCTTCAGAATTTTATTAATTTCGGCGGATTGATTAGCCCACTTCAATTCAATTAGCCTACGTATGAAATAATGAGTCTTATTACGTACGGTTGTTGTCGTCCAGTCCTAGTCCACCACAGCCAACTATTGAATATTAAAACGTCCATTTGCTTCCATATTTCTCCACTCTTCAGAGATTTCATCTTTACCACTCGCCCTATTTGTTCTTCTTCAATGTCTACTAAGAAGTTAGAGTGAAATAATATTACTTGGACCTCATACTCCTGCAAATTGTATCAAGTGTTGTTATACTTCCCGCGTGGATTAACAAACAGTATATTCAAAAAGATTAAATACTACACTTTTCTCGATGACAAAAATCTTGGACCAATATAAATATACGGAGTATAATTAATGGATCCCATACCATGATATGATCATTTCTACTTTTAATCCCCTAATTATATATAGAACATTTGAAATATATCCCATGGATTACAATCAATATATATATATAAAAGAGGAACTTTTTAAGAGCATAAAAAGCGCCACCTAATCCTGCCATGTCATCCATCATATATAACAATTAGTATTTAGTTTTTTTAATACTCCATTTAATACGTACCTTTCTAATACTCCATCATATATACGTACTTTTTAAATAGATTTCTCCATTTAATCCTGCCACATAAATCAATCTAGGTACTTTTTTTAATACGTACCTTTTATTTATTTTATTAGATTCTATTTTTGATTTAATATTGATATGGAAACAAAAGATTTTATGATAAAAATCCACCTTATTTGGTAACTAACTTTATCAAAACCTATATATTACATACTCCGTATTTGATAATTATTAAATTCATTAAGTGGAACCACAAAAATTAATAATTATTAAACCACAACTTTTATACGGAGTACTTCTTTTTATAAGCATGGAGTAAAAATTATTTGATTATTTTTATACGGAGTACTTTTTATTTCATTTGTTTATTTTTACAACTACAATTTAAATATGACATCACTTTTGAAATAGATTCCTAATCCAGATTAGGAAATCTTTGTATGTTTACATCTTAGGATGTTTTTAATTAGATTGATTTCATTCCTATACTAGATCAGATCATATCAAACTTTAATAATAATAATAATAATAATAGAACACATAAAATGTAAAACAGACATCTACCAGATCCTATTACTTCCGACCAAATCAAACCCGTAAATTTTAATTCAACTAAAAGCATCCTTGTTAATGGAGTTTTTAATGTGACGAAATAATGAGTAAATGTTAGATTTCACTATTAAAATTTAAAAACATGTACTTCGTATATCATACCAAGTTGAATGAGAAATATTAAAAAAATATTATTTTGGAATGCTCAATAAAGTAATCCAGGCGTTCATAACAATTAAAAATCGTTTTCAATGTCACAAATTAAAAATACTCCATTTTTTGTACATTTTAATAATGAGTAAATCGTATGTACTCCATATTTCATATCAAGTTGAATGAGGAATATGAAAGAATATATTTTGAGGTGCTTAATAAAGTAATTTAGTGGGCGTGAGATTAATGAAGAAGCTTCTATGTGAATTCTTTAAAATCGGGTTCACAATAATTATGATTAGTTGAGATGCTTATGTGGAAGAACATTTAAATATTTTTCATATAATTTTTTCTTTATTTCACAAATGGAGTATTTTTTTTTATAATTCAGGATATTCTGCCTATTCAGTCCATTCAGTCAGAATTTAATCAGTTTTAGTAAAATAAGCTGATTTCACCAATTTTAGTATTATCAAACGAACACTATATTTAGACTAAATTTATTTTGCTTTTGCATCATATTATATATAATTCCAAAAAAACAAATTGAAAATTAGCTAAATTATGTATTGCCTGTGCATCGCACGGGCTTGAAACCTAGTATTAAATATTATCGAATTCTGTTATTTTATTTTGCTACAATTTTATGAACATGCTGTGACGCTGGAGTCTGCCCAAAGTTACTAGAATCATCCATATTCTCATGCACCAAAGTTATCAGAATGAATTCAAAATAATTAAAGAAATATTCTTTTACTCTATATATTCAAATATTTCTTAGATTTTGGTGAGCATTTAAGATGAAAGATGTTTTTACTTGGATTGAAATTTGCTGGTCTAGTCTTGTCTGTTCTGGTTTGTCCTGACCTGATCTGATCTGAATTGGTCTGATCTGTTTAAGTCCGGTCTTGTCTGGTCTGATCTGATCTGGTTTGATTTAGTCTGGTAAATGTCCGATCTTTGTGTATTTTATAACTGAAGAAGTCTGGTCTGGTTTGGTCTGGGGCCGAAAACAGTCCAAGTAAAAACATCCTCAAACAGTTTTTTTTGTGTATTTTATAACTGAAGTCGTCTCATAAGTTTTTTTTGTTAATAAAAATATTGTTGAATCTTATTAAATTTGCTTTTCAATTTATCAAATTTGGTAAATTTGAAAAGATTTAGGGAGATTTTTTCAGCCATATTCTGAAGACGACATGTTTTTTGACAAAAAAATGAGTAAATTAAGGAGATTTTCTAAGCTACACAACACATTTGGAATAGATGATAATTGTCGAATTAAACTAAACAAGACCTTAATTATGGGGCTACACAAATACTTAGCTCCACTTTGTTATTTAAAGAATCGAAAACATGCTTATGATGGTTTTTTACCTTTTAAATCTATTAAAAATTTTAATTATTTTTGAATCCAACATATCATTTTAAAATAATGAGAAATATATAAATAAAGGAAGGAAATGAGCAAAAATATGAATTTTTATACTTCAATAATTATAATAACAACTTTAGGTCTTTAGTGATCATGATGATCAAATTTACTCCGTATATTGTAGTGACTATGATGATATGATTGTAGTAACTTAAGTCATGCTTTTTTTCATTTTTTTTAATAAACAAAAAAGTCATGTTTTTTGTGCATTAATTTTAGGGAAAATGTAAACTAGTAATCCGACCTTTCAGCGGTCTTCTTACAATAATCCAACCTTTTGGTTATTCATGAATAATCCAACATTTTCACCTCATCTTCATTCACTGGTCCCTGACCGGTTGATGACCTGCTATTCCAAGCTATTTTCTTATCTTTGCAAATCATTATACCATAAATCTCATCTTTCACAAAGATAATATTTTGCAAAGATAAGAAAATAACTTGGAATAGTAGGTCATTAACCGACCAGGGACCACTGAATGAAGATGGGGTGCAAATGTTGGATTATTCATGAATAATCAAAAGGTGGGATTATTGAAAGAAGACCGCTAAAAGGTTGAATTATTAGTTTCCATTTTTTCTTAATTTTATTGATGTAATATTTATACCATTTTCATTGACTTATCATTTCTAGCATGTCACTACTTAGAAATACATAAATACATACTTAAATACGTACATGCGTAATGTTTTAGTGAGGGTTATCTTATGACCAAAGAGTGAATGATACTATTAAATGTGTACATGCATTAAATTAAATCTACGGTTCTTCTCAAAAGGTGACATTTTGATAAAGCATATAAGTGATGTTTATGAAAAATATAAGTCAAATACAAGACCGCTCCTTATGAATCAGAACCATTGAATGTCGATGTGTATATGTAAGATAAGATACCTGAAATGTGACTGTAAAATTGAGAGGAGTAGCTTTTTGTTTGTATTTGATTCCTGGAATTGCACCATGTATCAAGCAAATAAGTGATTCAAAGTTATTTAAGCTTAAAGAATCTCCTACATACATGATCTTCTTCCCCTTCATTCGTCTCAAAAAATCCTCGCCATCAAACCTACATACGTATTACTTACAAAAGCAAAGTTAGATGATCAAAGCCTCAAAGGAGATAAATGAAAAAACGGCTAATTGACTAGTGACCAAACATGTAACATCTTTGGTCCTATTGATAAACTATCAATTAATTAGGCATTCAAGGGTCTCCCAAAAACAAATACTCCGTATTAGAAATCAATTTGGCTGAATTTTGAGTCCATTTGATCGATCATTTCATATTTCACCTTAGCTTATCAATCCTTTTTTACCAAACACATAACTTTTGATCTCATGCGTTGAATTGAGTAAAAATCCAATGAGTAAGATGAGAGTATTTTTTGCCGAATTGACTGAAGTTACTGTATAGTACGGAGTATCATTTTAACTATTTTTCTTATATTTTTTATTTATTTTATTAATTAAATATATTTTAAATGTAACTTTTCTATAATTTAACACATTCAGCTGATTCAACCTCTTAACCTAAAATTTGATTAATTTCAACAAATTTAACCGATTCCTCCCATTTCATTTGTACCAACGAGCTCTTGATAGATGAAGATGAAAACTTTAAAACGAATATTAATGTTTGAGAAAATAAAAAAGACACTTAAGTGAACATACTTGGGTAAATCACAGTCATACGGTTGCCATCGATATTTGAGATATTGTTGATTAGGGCGGCCAAACTTGACACAATGAAATGTGTCTCTTATGAAGGGACAGGACATAGAGTCATACAAAGGATAAGAATCATCAAAAACCCATGTCCCTTTGAACCAATTGCAATTCTTATTGCTCTCTGTGATCTTCTTAATTCCATCACCACTGCCATTATTATTGCAAACATGCACTTCTAGCTGGTTTCCAGCATAGCTTCTCTCCTTAATCATCCAGTAGTAAGGTGATAGTGATCTGGAGAATAAGTATGCAAAGAATAACACCATGAAGATGATAATTGCTATATTCCTTACTCCTTTACTCATTTTTCCCTTTCTTAATCGTGAATGTACACTATACACTTCAATATAATAGGATTTCATTTCAATATAAAGAACACAGACATTATGTATATAGTAACTTAATTAATCAGACAGATCTAGGAATTCAAATTGAGCGATTCATAATGTCTTAAGTTGTATTGTTTTTTTATTACATAAAAAGGGATAACATACAAATTTTATTTATATTTTTTCAAAAACGAACTTTCTTTCTGTTATTTTGGAAATAAAGTTCATCAAAGTTTATTTAACAGGCTATTCATGATTTTTGAGTGGATCGAGAGATTAATTTTTTGTTCAATATCATGATTCATGCATGACATTGAACAAAAAATGTTCTCTTTAGAATGAATTGTTTATTATCAGCGAGAAATAGTTTGGGGTGGAAATAAGTGGAATGAATGAGAACATTTTTTGTTCAATGTCATGCATGAATCATGATATTGAACAAAAAATTAATCTCTCGATCCACCCAAAAATCATGAATAGCCTGTTAAATAAACTTTGGTTAGGTAAGAAGTTACATAATGGAAAATTGGGTGCCAAGAGAATTTAGGGGTAGATATATCCGGGTTCGGTTATTTTTATCGGTTTTAGTTTGATTTTTTACGCATTTGAAGAATTAGCAATTCTTAACAAATCATTACAAAAATCATACAGAGTACTATTTTTCGGTTTGGTACAAACATGTTTTTCATTGAGTGTTTAAGATGAATTAAGTGCCAATAAATAATGTCAGAAAAAAATAGGTTGTCCAAGTTTAGAGCTACAGAATTTGTCCTAAATAAGTGTAAAAACGTTTTGAAATTCCAAAATAGGACTATCATGTTTTTTATTCCCTGAATTGAATAGAAGTAATCTGCCAAGTTTGAAAAAACACATCGTTATTGGAGTAGGATAGTAGACTAACTAGATTTTAAAAATCTTAATAAAAAAATATACTACGTATATGTTTTTTATCATGTTGCCAAAAATATATATTGACCATTTTTAATATATTTATGTCTTGTTTATATGACTTACAAAGAGCAATAATACACTAAAAGTATAGGAAAATGAAACAAAAATCTTACTTGTTAATTCATCTATTAACAAACCTTACTTCGATATACTACGTATATTTGTTGTATTGATTATTATTTTGAGTGCACACTACGACAAAGTGCACATCACATGCCTTCGTGTAAAATCTTGCACGCCAGAAACAGCTCTGCGTTGCAATGTTTGTTCCCCTTTAGCAACGGTGCTTCTACGCTGATGTGAATCTCTGCGTCATAGGGCGTCTTCGTTTCACCCGCAGAATGTCGTCATGTCCACAAGGGTGGTGTGTCTTGAATGCTTGTGCACCTCTTCTTGTGGCGTCAACCTCTAGAACCTTTGAGACAAAGCTCCTCGAATGTGAGTGGCTTCCCGGAACGCTTGCACCCCAGCATGAAGTTGTGTCAGCTTCGTGCACGGAGCATGATAGGGCTCGTCTTTGAGATGATTACAGGCGAATTGCCCGTTACGACCGTGACCCAGTGTATCCCCTTGAGTTTGCACGATGACGACAATTGATTCCAGAGATCTTCTGTCAACATCATCACCTGACTCCTCACGTGATTAGGAGTTCTACAGGAGCAACTGTCATTATCCAGGAAGGGAATGGCTGAGACCGGTCTTGACACTAGGATCGCAGCACTAATGAGTCAGTCCAAAAAATGGTGACAAGGCAAAGATGACCCAGTCGTGGCATGGGACATCAGCGCTGAAGGGACGGTCCCGAACATGAATACGACGGTCGCCATGCATCCCGGAAGGGAACGAGAAGCCTGATCGTGCGGTCACGATGTCGGCGCTGAGAAGCCGACCATAACATGGGAACGTCGACGCTGATGGGCCGATACCGAACCTGAACACGACGGTCGCCATCCCAGAAGGGAATAGGGAGCCCGATGGTGCGGTCACAACGTCGGAGCTAAGGAACCAGCAGTAATACGGGAACGTTAGCTCTGAGGGGCCGATCCCAAAGATGAACACGACGGTTGCCATCCCGGAAGGGTATGAGGAGCCCGATCGTGCGGTCCCGACATCGGTGCTGAGAAGCCGGCCGTAACACGGGAATGTCGACATTGAGAGGCCGGCCACTAACATGATCACGATGGTCGCCATCCCAGAAAACAACGAGGAGCCCGATCGTGAGGTAACGACGTCAACGCCAGGAATCAGTCTTGAAACAGATAATCAAGCGGCGGCGACACACGGTGGCAGCACACGGCGGCGGCATACGGTGGCGGCGGCACATGATGGCGGCGGCACATGATGGCGGTGCGTGGCGTCGGCGGCACGTCATGGCAGCGGCACACGACGGCAACGGCAGTATTGAAAGGCCGGTCATCAGACGAAAACTTTGACAGTTCAACCCATTGGTTGAGGTTCCTTGTTTCCATCCTATGCTTGGGGTTCGAATTCCAGCCCAAACTCTTCACTTTATTCCTCTGCTCGACGTCTTCTACCTCAGCCTGGCGGTCTGCACACCCTTATGGAATGGCTTCGCGTTGCAAGGTCTATACCTCTCTGTCAACGGTGCTTCTAGGACTTCGAGTAACAGCTCACCGTTGCAAGGTCTGTACCCCTTTAGCAACAATGCTTCCTTCCTTCCCGGGACGAGTGTTGCCGGGAGGGCCTCCTTCCTGGTTGTCAATGCGTTGCAAGGTCTGTACCCCTTCGGCAACAGTGCTTCCATGTAGGGCTGTGCACGGGTTGGGTTCGGGCGGGCCGGGTTTGCGAATCCTAAACCGGTTCGGATTTTTTAATTTAAATACTAGGCCCGACCCTCTGATATTTTAAATCGGATATTTCGGATATTTTTAAGTCGGATACTATCGGATATCGGGTCGGGTTTCGGATATTTCGGTTATATTAAAAAAAATTACAATTGGATAATTAAAGTGTTTAAATGCCACTTTGACAAAAATTGTACACACTAGGCACTAAACTTCCAAATTACACAAATAAGTTAACAAAAATTGCACAAATAATTGAACACAAGTACTAATTTAACATATTTAAAGTACACACTATATAATTTAATATATTTCGGATATTTTAGTTATATTAAAACACATTATAATTGGATAATTAAATTGTTGGAATGCCACTTTGACAAAAATTGTACACATTAGTGCACTACACATTCAATTTACACAAATAATTTAATACAAATTTCACAATTAATTACACAAATAATTGAACACAAGTATTAATTTAAATATTCAAAGCACACACTAACCTATATTTCGGATATTCGGGCGGGTCGGGTTGGGATTTCACAAACCCTACCCGTCACCCGGTCTAGGCCCAATACCAATCGGATTTTCGGTCTCGGGTTTTTCAGGTTGGATATCCACTTCGCTTCTGATAATATCCGGAAAAAATATCGGGTTTTTCGGGTCGGATCGGGTTTTGCTCAGTCCTACTTCCATGCCTTCGAGTGACAGCTCCGTGTTGTAGGTCTGCACCCCTTTATCAATGATGCTTCCTTCCTTCCCGGGACGAGTGTTGCCGGGAGGGACTCCTTCCTGGCTGCCGCTGCGTTGCAAGGTCTGTACCCCTTTAGCAACGGTGCTTCCAGGACTCCGAGCATCATCTCCGCGTTGCAAGGTATGTGTCCCTTTTACAACAGTGCTTCATTATGGTACCAGTGGATGGTTGGGTCAGCCACGTATGGCCCTCCCCCGACAACCCATCTCCTCAGCTCGTGTAGCCTTAACCTCACATCTTCCACCGCATCAGGGGCTAGTTTTGTTCATGTGCGTCCAGCGCGGAGATGAACTTGCACATAAGACTCTGCAACCCTCTCGCGTACGTGGGGTCGAGATTTAGCATGGCGTCCGTTCGGGAAAGACTGGCTGCCTGCCCGGCCGACGGGAGTGATAAGACGAGTCGTCCTTCTTGGCTACCATGGCTACCCAACTTGTCGGGACACATACTCCCTCCGAGATCCGTCTGTGTTGGTACATCTTTGCTGATACGTCTCCTGGGGAGCCTTCCGTCTACCCGGTCAACAGGAGTGATGAGAAGAATCGTTCCCTCCTTCCCGGAACGAGTGTTGCCGGGAGAGCGTCCTTCTTGGGTGATCAACTTGTCGGGACACGTACTCCCTTCGAAATCGTTCTGCGTTGGTACATCTGTGCTGATACGTCTTTCACGGAGAGCCAAACAGCCTACCTTGTCGACGAGAGTGATGAGATGAATCATCCCCTCCTTCCCGGGAAGAGTGCTTCCGGGATGGCCTCCTTCCCAGCTACTCAACTTGCCGGGACATGTAATCCCTATGGGATCCATCTACTCTCAACGTACGAGCGTGGTATATGGGCACCGAGCATACAAGCGTCTGGGGTGATAGCTTCGAGCGTGCACGACCTCGCGATGGTGCTCTCCAACCCCGACCAGTTGGCACAAGTAATCAACCTGCAATTTCAAAAAAAATTAATAAAAGTTTCAGAATTTTTTTCCGATGTATCACAGTTGATGATTGTCCTTTGCTAAAATTTTGACTAGGTCAAAATTAAGCCTATCCGGAGAAAGAGACGCCCATATGTGTTGTCCAACAAGCGTTGCTTCCAGAGAGAAGAGGAGATGAACCCTATGCTTGAAGGCCTGCTACTCCCTCCGAACGTCGGTGTTGCCAAGAGGCAGGGAAAAGGAGCTCCAATTTCAGCGAAGGAGTTGCGATCGTAGGTGGTGGAGATCGGAAGATCCCCTGGTGACCGCTGCTCTGATGGAGTGAGCATGAAGCGGCGTCTGGTTCAGAAATGAGGGCCAGAACCCTGGGCGGCAGGACGAGGAGAACGAATTAGGGCCAGAACCCTGGGCGGCAGGTTAGAGGTCGCCGCAGAGGAGCTTGGTCCCCGGGATCTGGGTTGCTTCGTTTATCTCCTTCCTTCAAGGCTTCAACGATTGGGTCCGAAGGGATATGATTTGGAAGACTCCCATTCCAGTTTGCTTTTCTACGAAATTTTTATCCTGGATCATTTTTGGCTGAACTCTGAAATTGTAATCAACTTTTTGATAATTTTTCCAACTATCACACTCGATTTTGCAGTTTTCTCTTGATTTTCTACCGATAAATGAGAGAAGGCTCTCAATGAAAGCACCAATGTTGGTAAAAAATAACCCGGGTAGAGAAACTAACAACATTTCAGTATAGTGGGAAAAACTTAGGAAAATACAAGGGTTGGTGGCCTATTTATAGGCGTATACGACTTGCCCACCAAGTAAGTGCTTCATGGGCTTGGCCCAATTTATCAACTAATACTGATG